TAAACAGTACGACCTAGCCACTTAAAGTATGAGAAAGGGACAAGCAACTGCTAATCAAACTTTAGCCTCCCCATAATTTTACAAAAGATCAAAGATCTTATAGATTTTCACTTTTGGATGTTTTGCTTTTGGTTTCTCTTGGAAACAAACAAAGACCACATGGGAAAGTGATGGTCCCATTTGTGCATACCTCTCTGCAATTATGAGGGTTGGAGAGAACTGGTAGTAATATATCCACCTTCTAAATAGTTAGGCAAGGACCAACAAAAATGGGACCCATCAGGACTTGTTTTGATTTGATGACTTTTAGATACTAAAAAGCCATTTTCAAGTGCAAATCCCATGACCCAATTGGCATGTAAAGGCCCTTCATGAAAGTCATCACTGAAACTGAGAGAAAAATGATGATGAACTTCATGAGTGGTAATTGATGAGTAGCAGAAAACATGTTCACCTTTTCTCTAGCAAAAACTGCATTTAAAGAAAATAAGACAAGAAGAAATGGTGTCAAATTAGGATTTAGAACATCCTTGAAAGACAATATAGAGATGCTTTTGCCGAGGTATTTATGGAGGTGAGAGGAGATAAGAGTGCATGAACAGGGAAGTAAAGAAGGGCCAGCACAACTTCAACTGCCAGGCTCAGAGGTTCCTTGGAGTAGCATTAAAGACTCTCTCTCTCTGCACTTGATCTTCATTGCACACCACCTGTATACTGATATACCCACCCAAAGAGCCTTTTACAAAGAAAAAAAAGAAGATGATTTATAAACAGAAAGTTAGATTGGTGCTTTGATGGTTTTTGGTTGAGAGGGAAAAATGGGATACAGTTCTCAGATTCTCCACATGATTTTCATCGTATCTTTTTTCTTTTCATTACCCAATGCTCACATTATTACTGCTGATGCTTTACCAGATGCAGCAAAGGACTTCAGTGTTCATGGCCTACAACAAATGTCTTTCATGGAGGACAATATTGATGGGATCCAAAGCCTGCACATTGAGAAAGTTTCAGGGGAAGATGAGAATGAAGAGAATGCAATCTCAGTTGTGGAAAAGTTCAGAGCTTTACTGGGTTTGAAGAGCTTCCAAAAGAAAATGCCATCTGTTGGTGACACTGAAAATGTGTCTCCATCACCTTCTCCATCACCCTTCAGTGAAGCTGAGGCTCCAAGTCCTGCTCCTGCTCCTGTGCTGCACATCCATGCACATTCACATCCTCCACATCGCTTGCACTCAATCCCAAAGCCTCACACAATTCGAAGGGAGGATAAAGGCAGAATCACAAGGATACTTGTAGCAGTTCTTGTTTCTGCAGGAGCTGTCACTGTGATTTGTGTCCTTAGCCTCATTTGGGCTTGCAGGAAGTACAAAAAAGCCAAGAAGGAACCCACAAGTGTTATTTCAGTGTACAGCAAAAAGGGAGGAGCAAGAGGTGGATCAAAGTATGGTAGTTCCCAAAAATCAGCAAGCAAGGTGAGCTTAAACCCTGGCACCACTGATCTCATGTATATTGAATCATTAAGCATGGATTTAGAGCAACAACAGCTTTCGTGTCCCAAGGAAACATGTGAAACTATAAACACATCACCAAATCTTAGCACAGCAAGATGTATATTGCTTGAGAGGGAAGAGTCAAACCAAGAACTGGTAAAATCAGAATTTGATGACAATGCTAGTTGTAGTTCTTCCACAAGGGAAATTATGTCTGTTCATGAGGATATTGCAGAGCCAATCAAATATGAATCTGATTGTGCTAATTCCCCAACTAGGGAAAAAGTTATTCCCATTGATTCTTATTCCTCTGATAATGAATCATTCCATTCTTTTGGAGACTCAAATTCATCAAACATCCGGCTTTCGAATGCTTCAGCAGGTACTCTAGGTGATGCATCAGACATTCTCTCCACAAATGTGTCAAACAGAGAACCTTTTTTAGCACCCTCTTTTATGAACTTTCCAGATCAACCAGCAACCCCAAACCAAAACCCAACTCCAGTTCTGGATTTACAGTCTCCAAGAAATGCAGAACACAAGATACCAACTGCACCATGCTCTTCCAATTGTGAAAAGAATTTCACAGCCCCTCCAGCACCGCCCCCTCCACCCCCACTCCCAATAATACACTTTCCTCGTTTCCATCTTTCTTCTAGTTCAGCTAGAATTGCATCCAAAGCTTCATGCTCTTCTTCTACATTGCCAAATCTATCACCTCCAAGACAATCAGATTCTTCTTCTGGATCAAACCAAACCCCAGAAGGTGGATTTTCGGTTTCGCCTCAAAACCCCTCTGGACCTTCAGAAACTCCACCTCCTATTCCTCCACCACCCTGCCCACCTCCCTTTTCGAAAGTAAATAATAGCTTGTCCAGAGGTCCACCTCCTCCGCCACTCCCTCAATCTACACCATTGGGAAAAGATGGAACTCCATTGCCTAAACTGAAGCCGTTGCACTGGGATAAAGTTAGAGCTGCACCTGACCATTCTATGGTGTGGGACAAACTGAGATCAAGCTCATTTGAGTAAGTGACATTATGTTGTTGGTTGCAATTTGTCTTTCCCCTTTTCTGTTTAAATCTGAACAAATCATGTGTCTTGAAACAGGTTGGATGAGGAAATGATTGAGTCACTTTTTGGGTACAATCTACAAGGCACAATGAAGATTGATGAAGCAAAAAGCAAGAGCCCTTCCCCAAGCAAGCATGTGCTTGAGCCAAAGAGACTACAGAACATAACCATACTCTCAAAAGCCCTGAATTCTACTGCTGAGCAAGTATGTGAAGCACTTCTACAAGGTATGTAACTCCTAATCTTATATAACCTGTACTATAAACAATCAAAATCAAGGGTCATGAAGAAGTGACGTGGTATGAAAGCAACAATTTAATATAAACCAAAATGAAATTATGTACAAATGTCCTATTAATTGCCTGAAGGCCTATTGTTGGCATTTGGATAGGTCCGATAGGATCATAATTGCTTAGCAGGGAATGATCAAAGATAAATGCCCTCTACAGTTCTAGCCAAGATATTATAACTTCATGTCGTTTAACAACATTAAGATATTAACAGGAATCGGCTTGGGTTTACAACAACTGGAAGCACTTGTAAGGATGGAACCCACCAAGGAAGAAGAGGCTAAGCTCTCTGGCTACAAAGGAGACATCAATGAACTAGGATCAGCAGAGAAGTTTGTGAAGGCAGTGCTTAAAGTACCCTTTGCCTTTCTACGAGTCGAAGCGATGCTTTACAGAGAAACTTTCGAAGATGAGGTGGTTCATCTCAGGAACTCCTTTTCAGTGCTAGAGGTAACCAACAAACCACATTATGCAGCAAGAAGTACATCTGAGCACAAACTAATCTCTTCCCTTTGTTTAATCATAATACTATAGGAGGCCTGCAAGGAACTGAGGTCAAGCAGGCTCTTCTTGAAGCTACTCGAAGCGGTGTTGAAAACAGGCAACCGTATGAATGTGGGAACTATCAGAGGAGGTGCTAAAGCATTCAAGCTAGACACTCTTCTCAAGCTCTCTGATGTAAAAGGAACTGATGGAAAGACTACCTTGTTACATTTTGTTGTCCAAGAAATAATAAGGGCAGAAGGGATCAGAGTCTCAGATAGCATAATGGGGAGGATCAGCCAGAAAAACAAAATCATAACTCTAGAAGAGAAGGAAGAAGATTACAGAAGAATGGGGCTAGACCTTGTTTCTGGTCTCAGCACTGAGCTCTACAATGTGAAGAAGACAGCTACACTAGACTTAGATGTTCTTGCAAGCAGTGTCTCAAATCTATCAGATGGGATGGCCAAAATAAAACATCTAATACACAAGGAGCTATGCATGGATGAAAAAAGTGGGAATTTGATCAGTTCCATGAAATCTTTCATAAACTATGCAGAGAAGAGCTTGAAAGAGTTGCAGGGTGATGAGAACAGGGTCCTGTCACATGTGAAAGAGATCACAGAGTATTTTCATGGGAATGTGAGCAAAGAAGAAGCCAACCCACTTAGGATATTTGTGATTGTTAGAGACTTTTTGGGCATGTTAGATCATGTTTGTAAAGAGCTTAGGAGCTCAAAAGCCGCACGCACTCCAAATCCTCTTGCTCCATTCCGATAGATTTTATTGTTTGGTGTGTTCATAAGATGTAAGCATTCTATTCTTTAAGCTGGTTTTGAAATTTTTTATGTAGAGTTTTGAATCACTTCATTTGAATTAATTACTTTACCTTAAGGTTGTGCTGGGTTAAATTTGTTATCCAACTCGTGAATATGTAAATGTGGGTTATGCGAATTGGTTAGGAAAATAAAAATGAATGATCCACAAATTTTTAGTGTTACAATCCAAATATCTCATTCCAACCCCTGAGTATGCAAATGTGAGCTATATCATTTAGTCAGAGGAGTGTGTTCACCTATTTGCATCCGAGTTTGAACCCTTTCCGTGGATTAGGGTAATTTGGAATATCAAGTGACGTCATGTTGGATAGGTTTGGGCCTCCATAATGTCAAGTGACCATGGGCCAAAGCAACACAAAGGAATTGTAGTCCAGCTCAGCCCAAACTCAATGACTCTATTGGGCCTTTTGACAGCTGAAGCATGAGCCGAATTTACTAAAAGCTCCTCATTCTTTCAGACAATACCCGATTTAGCCTTCAACCGCCATTGATCATCCTCGCGCCTTTTTCCCCTTCTGCACAATTCAAGAAGCATCCGGATTCCATCAGAACCCACGTGTCAACTCCAATGGGAGCTTTGACATATCCCAGTCGCAAGGCAGTAACAAACGGTGATGCAAATTTGATGACGTGGCGCATCACCACTGGATGGAATACGCATGACGGAAAATAGAACCGAACCAAGGCCGAACTGTATAAATACGAACCCCTGAGCTGAGCTTTTTCAGTCAGCTGAAGTTCAGACAAAATCACAGACACAATATCAAAAGGAAGGCCAAGATTTACGGACAAAGCGCAGCAGATTATAGAGAAACAAAGCAATGGAGGTGAAGAAGATCCAAGCATTGTCGTTCACGTTCCTGCTTCTCTTTATTTCAGGTACCAAAATGATCAAATTAAGCTCAATAAAAATTCTCTGCTAGTTTCTTAACACAGTTGATAATTTTAATATTTGAAAATTTGAGCTTTTGGTTAGTCTCTGTCACTTACAACTCTTGTTACGTTAAATTTGCTGAAGAAGTTGAGATTTTTTATTTGTGCTTGGCTAGAATTCTTGTGTGGAATAGCATCGGCAGCCGGAGGTTCATCCAAGGTGGGGACTGTGATCGGAATTGATCTCGGAACTACGTATTCTTGTGTGGGAGTGTACAAGAATGGTAATGTAGAAATCATAGCAAACGACCAAGGCAACAGAATCACACCCTCCTGGGTTGCCTTCACTGACACCGAGCGTTTAATTGGAGAGGCCGCGAAGAATCAAGCCCCTCTCAACGCAGAACGCACGATTTTCGGCGTCAAGCGGCTTATTGGGAGAAAGTAAGCAACTTTACTTGATAATTGGGTTGAAAGAGGTTGTGGGTTATTTGTGTGCTTAATTTGGGTTGTGAACTTAAATGGGTTTTGTTTGATTTGGGGTTTTGTTTGAAGGTTTGATGATCCAGAGGTGCAGAGAGATATTAAGTTTTTACCATATAAGGTTGTGAACAAAGATGGGAAGCCTTATATTCAGGTGAAGGTTAAAGGTGAAACAAAGGTGTTTAGCCCTGAGGAAATCAGTGCTATGATATTGGGTAAGATGAAGGAAACAGCTGAGGCCTATTTGGGGAAGAAAATCAAAGATGCTGTGGTAACAGTTCCAGGTATAGTCAGAGTTTCCTCTCTTAATCTTGTATATCACTGTGGAAATTAGATAATACCAATGAGAATACACAGTGATTATGTTATTGTATACATTGGTCTCATGGGTTGCTTTTCATTGGTTCTTGTAGCTTATTTCAATGATGCACAGAGGCAGGCTACTAAGGATGCAGGCATCATTGCTGGGCTCAATGTGGCCCGAATAATCAATGAGCCTACAGCGGCAGCTATTGCCTATGGTCTAGACAAGAAAGAAGAGAAGAACATCTTGGTTTATGATCTTGGTGGTGGTACATTTGATGTTAGCATTTTATCCATTGATAATGGTGTGTTTGAGGTAAGGTCTACAAGTGGAGACACCCACTTGGGAGGTGAGGACTTTGACCATAGAGTGATGGACTACTTCATCAAGTTGATCAAGAAGAAGTATAACAAGGATATTAGCAAGGATAACAAGGCTCTCGGGAAGCTTCGAAAGGAATGTGAGAGAGCTAAGAGAGCCTTGAGTAGCCAGCACCAGGTCCGGGTGGAGATTGAGTCTCTTTTTGACGGTATTGATTTCTCAGAGCCATTGACAAGGGCTAGATTTGAGGAGTTGAACATGGACTTGTTCAAGAAGACCATGGGGCCAGTGAAGAAGGCTTTAGAAGATGCAGGCCTCAAGAAAAAAGATATTCATGAGATCGTGCTCGTTGGTGGGAGTACTCGAATTCCTAAGGTGCAACAGTTGTTGAAGGACTTCTTTGATGGGAAAGAACCAAACAAGGGAGTCAATCCTGATGAGGCTGTTGCCTTTGGTGCTGCAGTTCAGGGTGGAGTTCTTAGTGGAGAAGGCGGGGATGAAACCAAAGACCTTCTTTTGCTTGATGTTGCCCCTTTGAGTCTTGGTATTGAAACAGCTGGTGGTGTTATGACAAAATTGATTCCAAGGAACACTGTTATCCCAACTAAGAAGTCTCAGATCTTTACCACTTATCAAGACCAGCAAACCACAGTATCCATCAAGGTATGTTTATAACAGATAAATGCACAAGCTATTGAGATGGGAATTTCCACATATTGCATAATGCGTGTGTTTTGGTGTTTTGACTAATGCTCGTCTTTGAAAATTATCAGGTGTATGAAGGTGAAAGAAGCTTGACGAAGGATTGTCGCTTGCTTGGAAAGTTCGATCTCACTGGCATTGCACCTGCTCCAAGGTAAACCAGAGTGCTAGTTTGTCACTTATTTGGTGTGCTTGATTGACATATACTGAAAGCTGAATGCTTTATTTTTCTCTTGCAGGGGAGTGCCCCAAATTGAGGTGACCTTTGAGGTTGATGCAAATGGCATCCTACAAGTGAGAGCGGAGGACAAGGCGGCAAAGAGGTCTCAATCAATAACGATTACTAACGACAAGGGGCGTCTGAGCCAGGAGGAGATAGAGAGGATGGTGAAGGAGGCTGAGGAATTTGCAGAAGAGGATAACAAAGTGAGGGAAAAGATAGACGCCAGGAACAAGCTTGAGACCTACATATACAGCATGAAGAGCACCATCAACGACAAGGACAAGCTTGCAGATAAGATTGACTCAGATGACAAGGAGAAGATTGAAAGCACACTGAAGGAGGCTCTTGAATGGCTGGATGACAACCAAAACGCAGACAAGGATGACTTTGATGAGAAGCTGAAGGAGGTGGAAGCAGTGTGCAACCCAGTGATAAAGCAAGTCTATGAGAAGAGTGGTGGAGCTTCTTCTGCTGATTCTCAGGATGAGGACGAACCAAATGATGAGTTGTAGACTGTAAGGGAGATGAAAGTTTGAGGGTTTTGTTGTGGAAAGTAGCATGGGTTTTTTATCTTCCCCTGACCAAAAAAAAAGTACCATGTTTTTTTAATATATTCTTGGGTTTTCATGTATATTTTAACTGTTTCAAAGTTCAATATTGAATGGGAGGTTGAGTCTTTCATTTCAATCATGTTTTAAAGTTCCTATCCAAAAATAAAAATCAATGTTTTAAAGTTATTAAAAAAAACAAGAAAATTGACAACAATCATAAATTCACAACACAACACAAAAGGGAAGGCAAGGCATCCATATATTCCAACGACTTGCCGTATGCGTGATCAAGTTGACGGACGACATGACGTGGGATCACAGGACAAAATGTAATGAAAAGAAAACCCCAACTTCAAAATTGCCCACTACGGAGTTTGGCGGGGATAGTTCCCAGAGAGAGAGAGAGAGAGTTCTTGGCGCTCTGTCGGGCTAAAGACTAAAGTAAGCTCTCATGCTTTCTATTTTCCCTCTTTGGATTTTAATCTTGGTAGCGTCATTGTTTTTCTTCAATTTTTTGTTTAATTGTTCACTAATTGAACGCGCGGAATTGTTCTTCGTGGTTGTTAATTTTTACGATTTGGTTGCTTAGAACATGAAGAAAATCAGAAATGAAAGAACTTATCTTTAAGCTCTGAACCCAGTCTCGCACCACTATTGCTTATTCAAATCGATTTTATTATGAAGGAATTAAATTAGGACTTGTTCAGGTAATAAGGGGAAGGGCAAGATCCCTTTTTTTTTAAAGAAAAAAAAAGGGCTGTTATGAAGGCTTAGGAAAAGAAAGTTGGTTAAAAAATAAAGTTCCAATTCTATTGACATAACCCAACTGCAACCATACAATTCAATTGGATTTTGAATATTATGTACTTTTTCATGCAGGAATTCTGTTTTGCAGCTTGCATTTTGATGCATGCTTGACTTTGGGTTTCCTGGACTTTTGCTACAGACCCTCTTCATACCATGAATGCCAATGGCGTCTCAGCTGATGAAGTCATTGCAAAACTGCTTGAAATGGGTTTTGAGAATTCCACCGTCAAAAAGGCTGTAAAAGAAGTAGGGCCATCATTTGATGATGCATTGGATTATATATTGAATGGTTGTTGTAGTACCAATCGGAGAGCAACAAGAGCATCATCAACTAGTTCTAGTTCCATGAGAAATGTAAGGGCTCGCGGGAAAAGACCTCTGTCCGCTTCATTCCCTTCGGCTCAAATTCGACAGTCTAGCATACTGGAGCATTTTCAAGCCAATAGTAGACCCAAAAGGAGTAAAACTGATGGGGTACCTGATGTATCAGTTTCTGGATCAGAAATAGTACGTGGTCCTATAGAACAATGTTTGAAACCTCTTTCTGGCGTGAAGTGTAGTGTTGAAGTTTTATCAGACACATCACCGCTTGATTGCCTGGAGAATCAATCAGATTGGCAGAAGAAAGCTAACAGTCTCTTGCAAAAGCATTTTGGTTATTCATCATTAAAAAATTTCCAGAAGGAAGTCTTGGCTGCTTGGATGGCTCACCAAGATTCTCTTGTTCTTGCTGCAACAGGGTCAGGTATTATTATCCAGCTTATGTTTGTGCTGTTTTGTTGATATTCAGTTATATGGGCGGCTATCTTAGATTCATAATTACTGTTGCGCAGGGAAATCTCTGTGTTTCCAGATTCCAGCATTGTTGACAGGGAAGGTGGTGGTGGTGATTTCACCGTTGATAAGCTTGATGCATGATCAATGCTTAAAGCTGGCAAAACATGGGGTTTCTGCTTGCTTTCTTGGATCTGGGCAACCAGATAGTACTGTGGAAAATAAATCAATGAGCGGCATGTACGACATAATATATGTTTGCCCCGAAACTATCCTGAGGTAAGAGACTTCATTATTATATGGCTGTTGTTTGACTGAGGTGTTTCGAAGGTTCTCACAAATTACAATCGACCATGCTACAGACTGATAAAGCCACTTCAAAAGTTAGCAGAAAATCGTGGAATCGCACTTTTTGCAATTGATGAAGTCCATTGTGTTTCAAAGTGGGGCCATGATTTTCGGCCTGATTACAGGTTCGTCAGATATCTGTTTACAATTGCATTGGTATATATCTATCACTACAAGAATAGTGATTGGATTTATCTATGAGTCGTATGACTAATGTATGTCATAGACATGGGAATAGATGCCTATAAATCAGTCAAACATTCTTGTGGTTCAAGTCTCTATCTTGTCTTTGCTGTGCCTTGTAAGTTATATGAGGCATCATTCTAGTTCTTCGGATAGATGAAAGTTATCATGTTTCCTTGACATTGAATTTCCAAATGTTTCAGGAGATTGTCTGAGTTGCGAAAGAACTTCAGTGCTTGCAATTTAAAATTCTTAAAATTTGATATACCACTGATGGCATTGACTGCTACTGCCACAATTCAGGTCCGTGAAGACATTCTTAGGTCATTGTCCATGTCAAAGGAAACAAAGGTTGTGCTTACTTCCTTTTTCAGGCCAAATCTAAGATTTACGGTGAGTTCATTGTATTGATTTTTCAAAATGTTTCAGTATAATTTCAGGTTTTTATTATTATATTTTTTAAATTTATAACTTTGGATCTTTATATGAAGTAATCAGCAGGATTGGGTTTTGTTCTGCATGAACAATTTCGTAGAATCCCAATTAATTTAATTTCTTTATTTGCTTCATCCATTTTATTTCTCATCTCATCTTACAGGTACGACATAGTAGGACATCGGCATCATCGTATGAGAATGATTTCCACGAATTGATAGACATGTATACTGGAAAGAGAAGAATGGGTGAAAAGAAACGAATGGTCATGTCGCAAGAACTAAACAATGTGATGGATAGTGCTAATGGTAGCATATCAGACGAAGATAACATTTCTCAGGATGATTTAGACAATTTTGAGGATGGTTACTCTGACAAAGATGAAGTAGATTCATCACAGGAAAATGGTTCAAGTGCTTCAAAGGGAAGGGAGCTGTCAGTTGAGTACTTGGAGAATGACATTGACATCTTTCAGAGTGTGAATGATTGGGACGGTATTGTAATTTTCAAGTTCTGATATCTGAAATAGACTTCATAGCATGTTAGACATGATTATGTTCTATGTGCTGATCTTTTTCATGCTTGCAGTTAGCTGTGGTGAGTTCTGTGGACAATCTCTTTGTGAGGACTGGAATACCAGAAAAGAAACTAGATCTGATATTATTGATCTACCAAATAAACCAGAAGAAAGACTAAAACTTTTGCAGGAGCCGTTAGATAAAGGGTCAACCATCATATATGTTCCTACTAGAAAAGGAACGTTGAGCATTGCAAACTATCTTTGTAGGTGTGGCGTGAAGGCTGCTGCCTATAATGCAGCGGTATGTCATGGATTATAACCTTTGTAGATATTTGTGGATGCATATTATCACACTGTTTTCTTACAGTCTAGTATATAGTTCTCTTAATCTCTCTTGCTACTGAAATATCCTCTTAGCTCCCTAATTTCCTTTGTCACTACAATTACCAAACATTGTAGACCACTAGAATTTGTTTATGGGTGAAAATTCAGTCACACAATGTTGATGATGTAGAAATACCGTGGGATGGGGAAAACTGGTGCATTTACCCACAATAACAGGCTTTTTCATTTACTTATAGATGAATTCTGATGATAGATTATTTTTTATTGTCCTATCGTGCTAACTCATTCTTGAGTTCACTCGTTATCCAATTGCTAAATTAAAGATGCTCTATGCTGCCATGAAAGCGTATCTCTTGTTTGCTAGGTAACGTATATGTTGGTTTGATTTTTCTCCAGTTGCCGAAGTCACATCTAAGGCAGGTTCACAAGATGTTTCATGAAAATACTTTAGAGGTATGAGTTTTCAGATTCATGGATACTAGGAATGTTGCATAGGCCAATGGAATTTTTGAGGCATACCTAATATATTTCATGCGATTTAGTTTAGCCATTAAATGTATATTCCCTCATTTTAGGTTGTTGTTGCAACAATTGCTTTCGGAATGGGAATTGACAAGTTAAATGTCCGAAGAATAATCCACTATGGCTGGCCACAGGTGATCTTCTTAATCTAGTTTTGCTTCAATTTAATGTTTCTTCATTCTTTGTTCTGAACTAAACATAACTCAGTCCCTTGCTTCTCTGTTTAGGCAACAACATAAATGCTTACTACAAATTTCCCTTGATGTATTACTTCATTATCCTTGCTGTGAGCTTCTTATACCTTTTTGGTTTGTTATAGAGTCTGGAAGCTTACTATCAAGAAGCCGGTCGAGCGGGCAGGGATGGAAAATTAGCCGACTGCAGTAAGTTGATCTCTGTTTTCAGAATATTAGATGTGAACTAGACTAAATTAATTGAATATTAGATGTGAACTAGATTAAATTAATTGAAGTCTTTAACCTTTTTGACCCTTTGTGGCAAATAATCTTCTTGAGCTACTATTTATTGTTTCTCAGTTTATTATGCATTCCATGCTCATGATATATTCTGTTTCAAACTTATAATCTTGCTCTCCCTTTTCACCTTATATTGCATTGCTTTATTGATTGCGACTCTTGTTGGGTCCATATTGTTGGATAGGATCTAATGAAACCTCTTCTGTTTTTCTCGAGCAGTTTTATTTGCAAACCTAACAAGAGTGCCATCACTTTTGCCGAGTCGAAGAAGTGAAGAGCAGACAAAGCAAGCATATAAGATGTTGTCAGATTGTTTTAGGTTGATGTTAAATACATCTCCTTGCAGCCTTCTTCCACTGTGAAATTTGATCACACTTTAACTTTGACTAACTTTACCCAGCATAATATTTATTTTCACACGCATGCACACACGCAGGCAGCACATATGTATTATATGCTTTTCTTTGTATACTTGCAGGTATGGAATGAATTCTTCATGCTGTCGGGCTAAAAAACTTGTGGAGTACTTCGGAGAGGATTTTAGTTCTGAAAAGTGTCTCTTGTACGTATCATTGCTTCTCTTTTTGAGGTCCCGTTTTATGTTTAAAGTGTTTCATCTTTAGCCACAGTTGACAGTGTTTCATAGTTTATGTTCATTAAGCAATTTCCTTAATGCAGGTGTGATGTGTGTGTTGATGGACCTCCCGAACTGAAGAATTTGAGAAAGGAAGCAGATCTCATCATGCAGGTTATATCTGCTCATCATGCAAGTCAATACAGGAATGGTTCATATGATGATACTACAAGTAGTGACATTAGACTTAGACGTGAAAGTTATATGGGGAAGCTAAATCTCAGGATGATTATCAGTAAAATAAGGGAGCAGGTGATTCTCACTCTCTTACTCTATGCTTTGGTGAAATTCTAGCGGCGGTGCTTAAAATGCAACTCAAATTCTAACACATTGTTTGGTGATTTCCATACGATGACCATGAACACCGCGGCGTGCAGTCTCAAGAATTCATGGCAACTGAACTGCTTTGGTGGCAAGGCCTTGTCCGAATTATGGAAAGTAGAGGATACATCAAAGAGGGAGATAACAAGGTACACATTCACCATGCATGCATGCATGTGTATGCTTCTGCTTACATTTATTTTGTCAGTCTAATCTCAGAGTATCAACTTAAATATTCAACGCAGACGCATGTTCAGCTAAAGTTCCCTGAGCTAACAGAACTTGGGTTGGAGTTTCTTGAAACCAAAGGGGAGCAAACTTTCTATGTTCACCCTGAAGCAGATATGCTGCTTTCTGCAAACAGACCCAAATCTTTCTCAACTTTCTCAGAGTGGGGAAGAGGCTGGGCTGATCCTGAGATTCGACGTCAGAGGTTAGAGAATATGCAATGCAACAGAAAGCCATTTAACGCTGGAGGTAAAAGAGGACGACGAAAATCACGAAAGCAACGACATAGTCCAAATTTAAGAACTGCTCGAGGTAGAATAGAAGCCAAACTCTCCAAAAAAGGTGCCCGACCAAGGTCATTGAAGCATTGACAAGTTTGGAATTTACATGTAGAATGAATCTATGACAGCTATTAACCAAATAGGTTGTGGTGGAGCTTTTGATTCAAAATGCAATTATTTTTCAGTAGCATATTGCTTAATCTTGCAATCATGAATTAACGTAGGATTAAAATCGATTAATTTCCAACCCATTCTTCTATTGGATTTTATAATCGTTTTTTCACAAATTGAAAATTGAAAAAGAAAAAAAAATCCTTCATTTGAGTTTTTGTTTTTTTTTTTTTTTTTTTTTTTTTTTTTTTTTTCAAAGTTTGAGTTCAAATTTTTTCCGTTAGTCCACCACTGTTAGCACACTTGTACCTTACCTTCAAACCAAGTTTTGCCAAGAATGTCAATAGAACAAAACAATTTCATTGTAAAGTCTAACATTTTGACCAGAAGAAAAAGAAAATTCATATAGTAAATGTCTAAAATTGCACCATTATTATTGTAAATATATCTTAAATCTTAATATAAAAAACTAAAAATAAATAAGAATAGTGATTATTTATTACATTTTCAAGTGATTTCTACTTTCACCAATTTTTATGTAGTAGTATTTATAAAAAGTAAATAAGTTATGAACAACAAGCGCATCTGGTGTAGTGGTATCATAGTACCCTCCCACGGTACTGACCAGGGTTCGATTCCCTGGATGCGCATTCTTTTTAAATTTTTTGCTCTCTCTCTCTCTCTCTCTCTCTCTCTCTCTCTCGGAGAATGTACCCTTTGGCTTCATTAGGATTTTATATCCCATTTACCTTTTATTTGGCTTCATCTCGTTCACTTATTTTACACATCATTGTCACCCATTTTTGTTAGAGATGAAAGTTTCCTTTAAATTGGCAGGCAAAACAAAAGACAAACGCAAAGAATATTCCCTTATTGAGTTATATGACAAACCCACATAACTAAAGGAAAGAATATATATGTAATGTAGCTAGGCTCCCCTCAATTATGTTTCTTTCTTCCATTCTTCTTATTACATGTGCACCTCTTCAACACTTCAACAAAATAATTAACATGATCTCCATGGATTTCAGTCATGTAATTTTCGCCGTAATCGGTTTCTCTTCCTCCATCTTCTTCTTCGTGCCGAATGTAAAGAAATGGCACAGGCAACAAGTCACAACAGAAAAATTAAGGATTGTTAATGAAGCATTGGAGCAAGCTGAAGAGAGGGCAGCGAGGTTTCAAGAAAGGCATGACCGAATTCTAAGCCAGATATGCTCATTTTACTTGATAAATAAGGAGCTGGAGGATGCCTTGGCCGGTGCTCGGGCCGCCATGAAGGAAGCATTGGAATTTGCTGCTAATTTGAGGAGGTTGCAAATGAAGATCATTACCTCTTTCCCAAGTGATCAGCTTAGAGTCATGGCAGGAGAGTCAGGTTAAGGAATAATTAATTAGAGGGGACATTCTAATCATTCTGAACTGATTGCATTCCCAAATGCCAATGGTTCAAACTTTTTCATGCATAAGCTATATGGTCCAAGAAGTTTATGTTGTGAGGAACGCTCAAAGAATTTTATTTGTTAATATAATCCGTTCAATAACTTTACGGGTTCCTATTCTTCTTGGGTTACACTTTTCTTTCAAATTCATGTAGGAATGATAACTTTTCGTATCATTTGATGTCGCAAAGCTCTAACTCTTAATGGGATGGTTTGGAAAAAAAAATTGAAGAAAAATGCGTTGGGGGTAAGGATCATTATTACAAAGCTTTTTTATCATTCCATAATCACAAGTTAAGAGTAATATCTTCATAGGCCCTAGGATAGGAATGAGATGAAAGCGAGTATGGGGCAAGAACTCCACTTATGTATGCATCTTTCATTGTATTGAGAGATACAAATACACTCACGATTGATATTTTTTTGAGAATAAGACATGAGTTACTATTTTAGCATGTCGTAAGGTAGACACGAAAATTCCGAAGCAAATTGAGAGAAGTGAGGATGGAAAATACGAATGAAAGTATTTTTTTAGTTGTTAAAAGTCTTATTTACCCCCACAAAATATAGCATGTACTGCTCACATGACTAAATTTAACAGAAAATATAACGGTATAACCAATGTGTCGATTAATAAAGAGTTCATGGACCATTTGAACAAATAATTTAGTTGCGAGACAAAAATGCAATTTGAGTATAAGTTTGAGGACTATTTGAGTAAATAACCCTGAAAAGTATTAAAAATCAAAAGAGAGAGAGTGAGTGTAAATGGAGAAAGGGGAATGGGCAAATCACCTCCCTAAAATAATATAATTTGTTCCCAAGGCAAAGTTAATGCCCCAACTACTCTCCAAAATCCAGAAGTCGCGGATTGCTAGCGTGTCTTCACTCACAGCCGTTGATCACCATCAAATCTCATACCCATCGCTTCACTTCAAAACAATCCAATTGGCTAAAACACAAGCACACGGATCGTCAACGTGGCACGCCCCCCTTATAAAACACAACCCACCAAAGTACTTTTGCCAAATTCAAATCCAAGCGCTTCAAAACAATCTAACTTTCCCTCCGCAACAAAATTTCATTTTCAGTTCTAAAATCTGAGAGAGAATGGAAGCCGCTAAGGTCACCAAGGGCGCCGGAGGAAGAAAAGGCGGAGAGAGAAAGAAGTCCGTGTCGAAGTCGGTCAAAGCGGGGCTCCAATTCCCAGTGGGTCGGATAGCTCGTTTTTTGAAAAAGGGTCGCTACGCCCAGCGAACAGGCACCGGGGCTCCGATTTACCTCGCCGCCGTTCTCGAATATCTCGCAGCTGAGGTAATTTCACGGTCCAAGTTTCTCAGATCTAAGCATTTTACATCTTTTCCCCCTTCTCGAAATGCGTTTCTCGTAACTTCTCAATAAGATCTGATTGTTTTGTGCGATTGTGTTGTCTTTTGCTGTTTGGCTTTTGAGAAAAATAAGGAAAATGAGATTTGATTTTTGTTTATTTGATTATTAATTGGTGGTGGCGTTTTGAAATCAGGTGCTGGAGTTGGCGGGGAATGCGGCACGTGACAACAAGAAGACTCGGATAAACCCAAGGCACGTGCTATTGGCAGTGAGAAACGACGAGGAGCTTGGAAAGCTTTTGCAAGGAGTGACCATAGCGAGCGGTGGTGTGCTCCCAAACATAAACCCAGTGCTGCTTCCAAAGAAGACCTCCAATGCGTCTTCTGAAGCTGCTGAGAAGGCGCCTAAGTCTCCCAAGTCTCCCAAGAAGGCCTAAAACGCATGTCGTTTTTAGTGACAATATATATAATGTCAGTGGGGATCTTTAGGGCCTAGTCTTATTTTGTTTTTCTCGTGTAGTAGTTAGTGCACAAATGAAAATGTGGATGGTATAATCGGAAATTTCATGTTTTGTGTATTTTTGGAATTTCCTTAATTTGATATTTGAAATTTCCATTATCGAGAGAAATTATTGTGTAGTACTGGAATATAATTATACAAATTTATAAATAAACCCAATTCTACACATGTATTTATAAAAAAATCCAAGCACTATTTAAACATAGAAACACATCTAAAATTAACCCCAAAGTCAACTTTTTGGGTGTGTTTATAAATGGGTTTTGAGTGTGTGTAATGATGGGTTTTGGGTGTGTTTATAAAGTGTTTTGGGTGTTGGGTTTTTTTATAATTTCAATCTCAATTTTAGGTGTTTTAGTGAAACTTCCATATAATTATATGATATAATCTGTGTTTTAAAATAGGTGAGTGACATGGTTACAAAAATAAATTTACGTCATTCAGGGGCCCAAGCCCACGGATGGCGCTTGGTAGTATTCAAACCTGACCCAATTGATAACCAGATCCAACTGATCAACTCACGAAACGAAAATCCCTGGCCTGCCACGTATCATTGCCCTTGCCCGAAACACATGTCAAAGGCATAAACAGAAACTCGCAAATTGCCATCGTGGCATTTTCCCCTATAAAATATTGCCTACCAAATTACGCCAACGTGATTTCAAATCCGAGCGGTTCGAAACTCTCGCACTTTCCCTCCTAAACGAATCGTTTTACCACCAAAGTCTCGAGAGAAAAATGGAAACCGCAAAGGGGTTCAGAGGAAGAATAGGCGGAGGGAGGAAGAAGGCAGTGTCAAAGTCGACCCGAGCCGGGCTTCAATTTCCGGTGGGTCGGATCGCCCGTTTCATGAAAGCTGGTCGCTACGCCGATCGGATTGGAACCGGGGCTCCGATTTACATGGCTGCTGTTCTTGAATATTTGGCTGCTGAGGTGATTTTGCTGATCCGCAATATCTCAGATCTAAGCATTTTAACTTGTTTTATCGAAATAATTTTTACATGATCTGATTGTTGCGTCTGATATTACTTTTGTTTTGATTTTCTCTTCATATCTGATCCTTGTTTTTTTGTTTGGAAGAATTGATCATGGCGGTGTTTCTCTTTCCTGTTTGGTTGTTGAGAAAAGGAAGGAAATGAAAAGAGAACTGACATTTTAATGGGTTTGATTACAATTGTTTGATTTCTCTTTCTGTAATTATATCATTAAATCACAAATTAATCGGTCAGGTTCTGGAGTTGGCGGGGAATGCGGCACGTGACAACAAGAAGACTCGGATCAACCCGCGGCACGTGCTATTGGCAGTGAAAAACGACGAGGAGCTGGAGAAGCTTTTGAAAGGAGTGACCATAGCCAGTGGCGGTGTGCTTCCACAGATAAACCCAGTTTTGCTTCCAAAGGAGACGACGTCGTCCAAAGTCTCTTCCAAGGCTCCCAAGCTCGTCAATCCCACCACCAACAAATCGTCTTTTTCTGCTGCTGTAGAAAATGCTCCCGACTTTGGGAACGAGGCAAACGACGCCGCTTCGGATGTCGCGGACAATGCGTCTCCCAATTCACCACCCAAGGAGTTGGCCTCAAGCCCCTCTTCTGGTGTTTCTGCTGTGTCAGCAACTACATAAATGCCAGTAGGGAACTATAGGAATGAAAGGTTTTTTAGTCAGAGTAGTGCACAAATGGAAACTGTTAGTGGGTTGGGTATATCTGACAGAAACTTCAAATGGAAAGTTTCTTATTTTGTGAATAAAATTTAAATGCAATCTTCTTATGGTGATCAATTGAAATTTGGAATGCAAATCCTCATATCAAATGGAAAGATTTCTTATTTTGTGAATGTAATTGAAATCCAATCTTCAAATCAATACTTACATTCACAAATGTGAGTTAATCCACTTGGCCAATACAGTTTACTCACCCCACTGCATCCGAATTCGAACCTCCTCCCCCTGTGCATTAGAATAGTTTATAATATCATCATTGTAAAAATAAAAATAGAAACATATTACATCAATTTTTTAAATCGAAGATCTGATTTCTTTTAGAAAAAGTCGAAACCAGAGAGCACACAACACAACCCACAACGCCCAAAAGGTTTGGTCTTTTTATTTGTGCTCCAATTCTCGGTACCCGATTAGGATTTGGGCTATGTAATTCCAACTGCAAAGCCCATTTGAACTTCATCTTTGGTCTCTGACCAATAACAACACTTCATCCTTTGGTCTGGGATTTAAGACACCGTCATCAAAGAAGGGGTTTTAGCTTGGGTTTTTGTGTACCTTGCGTTTCAGAACTTCTAGTACATTCAGTCAAGCCTTCGTTTCGTTTTACTCATGAACCATTTTCTGGTATTCGCAATCTGATTGGAATTCATTTTTAAATTTATTAGCTTTCGTTAGAAACTTATTACTTTCGCATCTGATTCCGGCAGAGAAAACTTTCAACTCCCAACCGGATTGTGGCCATTTCCGCCGCTGCAGGGTCGGTTTTATTGTACGCCAACGGCAACAGAAATTCCGGTAAGTTCAAAGCTTTTATTTTGATCCAAAGTGAATTTTTCTCTTCCTGTTTTTGGGCAAACATTTTCTGGTTGCCGGATGAATGAGGAAACGAGAAATCAAATGTTGGGTTTTCGTTGCTTGGTTTCTAACCCAATTAAAAAAATGTCAAACGTTTGATCCAGATCGAGATTCACATTTTTAATTTGAGTATAAAAAATAATGCATTTCTGATTGATTAACTATAATAATCAGTCATTAAGTATGAATTGGATTTTAGATTACACGGCATCAGTGTCACTCCCTGCGCCATTGCGCGAATCGCTGTGGCTTCAATGGCAATCAGAGCTATCGGTTCCACTGTTTTCTCTGGGAAATAGTTCGGTTCCATCATCAGATATAAGCAAGGATGTTTCTGGTGTCTCAGCAGCTGGAGAGATACCAAAGACATGTAGTGGATGTTTGGGCAGAGATTCTTTTGCAAAAGCTGCTGCTAAGGTTGGTCCTGCTGTTGTCAACGTATCTGCTCCACAGGGTAAAAATACATTTGGGATTTTTCATTCTTGTTTTGAGACAGTTGTATTGTATCGAGAAATTAACAATGATGCTTTGTTTGTCAACTGTATAGGTGAATATGGGATCAGTCCTGGAAAGGGTATGGGCTCCGGAACTATTATTAACCAGGATGGTACGATTTTAACGTGTGCTCATGCTGTGGTTGATTTTCATGGGCTGAGAGCTTCATCAAAAGGGAAGGTTAGAAACCATATCCCAATTCTCATAATTTAAAATATCATAATATGACTGTTCTGTACTAGTTCCATTGGGGACTCTGTTGGTACACATAGAAGGGCATATATTTCGAAGTAAAAATATACGGTAACTGGTAAGACTGAGTTAAGAAATGCAATAGGTTTTCAGAGCAGGCTTTTAGGAAAATATATCAATCTTCAAGGATTGATGTTCGGTTCAACTTGATACAGGTTCATGTCACTTTGCAAGATGGTCGAACATTTGAGGGTACTGTTGTCAATGCGGATTTACAATCCGATGTTGCTATTGTAAAGATCAATTCTAAAACTCCACTACCAACAGCAAAGCTCGGCAGTTCAAGCAAGCTTCAGCCTGGGGATTGTGTGATAGCTGTTGGCTGTCCACTTTCGCTTCAGAATACAGTCACATCTGGTATTGTAAGGTAAATTAGTTTTCAGTAATAGAGAGTTGGTATCTTTTTTGTCTACCAGTTATCAAATTAAACTCCTAGCAACACACACATAAAAATGCACAATTTCAAGCCTTTAATTTTTCTTTGGCCATTTTACTGTATCATGTTTTTTTGGTGTTTATCATCATGTTTCTCCCTTTAATGCAGTTGTGTTGACCGTAAAAGCACTGATTTGGGTCTTGGTGGATTGCGGAGAGAGTATTTACAGACAGATTGCGCAATCAATCCGGTCTCTCTCTCTCTCTCTCTCTGTCTCTCTCTCTCTCGATAATGACTTTGAATTGTGCCTAAAACTTGGCTCCTTTTTTTTTTTGGGTATATGACCTGAGTGTTGCAGGGAAATTCTGGGGGACCTTTAGTTAATATTGACGGAGAGGTGATTGGTGTTAATATTATGAAAGTACTTGCTGCAGATGGATTGAGTTTTGCTGTACCGATTGACTCGGTCACCAAAATTCTGGACCACTTCAAGAGAAATGGGTATATTTTTGTTTTAGCATGAGCAAATAGTTTTATGTGATACACTTTTTTGATAATTTGGTTTCTTTTAAGATAATATATGTGAAACTAATTAGTCATGTTCGGCAGGAGGGTTGTCCGGCCTTGGATTGGATTGAAGATGATTGATCTCAATGAGATGATCATCACTCAACTTAAAGAAAGAGATCCTACATTCCCAAATGTGAAGAAAGGGATTCTTGTCCCCATGGTATGTATATAGTTTCTTCCTTCCCCGATCTACATATTTATCCAAATAGTAGTTGAATGTATCAGAGGTGGAAAGTACATCTAGATGCCATCCTTTGGCAGTTAAAGAATTGCAATGACTTTTAAATGGCTTCCTAGCCTAATCTGGTAAGAGTGCCCTAGTTGTGTATTTCATTGCTTTTTCTACCTTGATATCTATCAGTCTTTTCTAAGTGGGTATGTGATGCACAAATATGAAAACCAGGCTGTTAAGGATGGTATTCAACAAATAACACACAAGTTTATTGCAACTTGAGCTTTTTCACTAGATATGCATCAGCATGCTTTTACTTTTACTTCTTCATTGTGCACCCATTGGAATGAACATGTTCATGTTTGACTGTTAAACATGGCTGGATTACTTGTCAAATAATTTACCTTTTGATCGTCTAGGTAACTCCTGGGTCACCTGCTGAACGTGCTGGGTTCCATCCTGGTGATGTTGTTATTGAATTTGATGGAAAGGCTGTTGAAAGCATTAAGGAGGTACTGGAACCCTTACTATAATATTATTTCCATGAACTTCTTTGAGTGAATGCTATATTGGCAAAGTGTATTGAATTTACCAATTTAGCAAATGACTAGATTTGTAATAATTTGTTAAAAACTGTTCATCAAATTTGGTGAAATTGTGACAGATCATTGAAATAATGGGAGACCGAGTCGGGGTGCCCATCAAGGTAGTTGTGAAAAGAGCAAGAGATGAGTTGACTTTAACTGTAACTGCAGAGGAGTCGAATTCAGATATGTGAATGACAAGCTTTTGTTTTCAAGATAGTTTGTTGTTGGTTTGGTTCCTGTAATTCTGTGACTGGAAAGAAGAGCGAATGCATATTATCCAGCTAGTTAGTAGTTAATGTTACCTTTGAAAGATACTGTTGATATTGAGGTGAATTAGTTTGTAATTTGGTGTCTACTTTCTAAAATTTCTCATGCTCCCATGGAGTGGAAGCCTTGTGTTCATTGTAACTTGTATACGAGCAATAAGGAGAAATCATCTCCAAAATTTAACCCTTAAACTTGTATGGGTCCCTTCTACTCCAACTATCTAACGTGGACTTCTATCTAATTTTACCGCAAGGACCATCATGGATGTGATTTGCAATAATTTATCTGAGAGTATATTTGGCAGAAATGGACCATATAGAACAGATGCATAAAGTCGAATTGAACTAAAGGCGATCCGAAATTTGGAGACGAAAAATTGTTGATTACTGCAACTAATTTCATTGATGCATAATATAACTGTTATATATGTGTAACCCCGATACCGACCTCTAGCATATTCTCATTTCCTCGAATATTTACAATGTATTTCAATACCCTAAATAATTTAAAGAAGAAAAAAGGCATAACATGAAGGTGCTACCAAAAACAAAATATTTACACCACTTCAAAAAGTTTCTTCTGGCTTCAAGAAGTTATAATATTCCAGCTGAGTCATTTCTCCTCCATTTACAGGGTCGAATTGGCAACGATAGAAGCTGCATTCGCAATCCGATGATTTCATTAGAAAGTTAATCTTCGGAAACAGAAAATAAAAGAAACATAGACTCCAACAATCTAACTAAAATAAGGAACATTCTAGTTGAAGGCAGCTCCATGGAATCAATAGACTTAGAAAACGGGAACTTGCAAAAAGAATAAACAATATCGCATTCAGTTACCTTCCATCCATGCCAAGAATCGCAACAGTGTTCTTCTGGTGTCCAAAGGCAACAGTGTACTGCAAACCTTCCTGCAAGTGATATTTAGCCACTGACCATTCTGAGCTGAAATACCTTGGCAACACACCTGCAAAAGATAAACCCAGAACAAGGTTGAAAGACCAAGATCAAGATACACAACTACCAGTCATTTACAAATTGACGTTACAGTTTATCTACGGTATCTCAGAGATAAACTTGGCAACAAATTACATACCTTTCATGAAAGAGAGAGATGAAATGCCGGAAGGATTGGGAGGACTGATTTCTGATGCACTGCATGATCTATTGTTTCCCAAGGATCCTGAATCAACCTTTAGGCTGAAAACATGGACAGTGCCCTTATCACTTGAGACAGCTAGCCATTGGGCAGTAGAAGAAAAAGCAAGACTGTAAATCTCTGCTCTGTCTGCTCCTCTCCTTACCTACATAAAATACCAAGTAATTCCTTAAACATTAATGTTACTAAATTACCACAAAAGTTAATAAATTTTTGTGCAGAGTAGTCATATCCAAATATACCCTGCAAAAACCTAAAACCTCAACCAAGCATGAATCCCAGTCACCTTTCTGAGACAAATTGCTTCCTAAAAACCTGACTTTGGCAAACTTATGCCATTGCCAACCAACCTAATGAGAAAAACTACACACATTGACAACTGACAACTTTGTCTCAGATTCAACTAAAGCTTGATTCTTAGTTCATACAAATAGACATGGCAGCACCCAAAAACACAATTTCAGAGAACATTAAGAAAAATAATAAAATTTAAATACCTCTTGAAGTAATGAACCATCCAAAGTATTGAAAATCCTGATCAAAGTGCCTTTGCTACTGGCCGTGGCTAGCAGCCGGCCGTCCTGCGTGAGCGCCAAGCACGCGAGCCTGGAATCGTGGGCCATTACAAACTTGGTCCGCTTTGACACGTAATTCTCGATCCGAACTTGACCTTTTTGGAGCCCCGGGCACACCAGCACCGGATGACCCGACACGTTCGAGACCTCACACAGTCCTTTGGGGTTGGCGATGGTCTCAATTTGATGCAGGAGCTTTAAGTCTGTGAAATTGTAGACGAAAACCTTCTGGACCAAAACGACGACGATTCGGTCACGGCGGAGCCTGACCCCTTTGACTTCGGACCGGAAAGAGAGCTCGCAGATGCAACGGGACTCGTTGTCCTCCCAAATCATGACCTTGTTGGGCGAGTAGAGCGGGTCGAGTCCGCCGCCGACAAGGGCGAGGACGTTGCAGCGGAAGAGCATCTGGACCATCCCGAGGCCGCCATGTGGACCGAATTCGCGGCGGAAGATCTCGCGGACGGGGTCGCAGTTGTAAACGCGGAAGCCGACGTCGGTGGCGACGGAGAAGCAACCGTGGTCCTGGTTGAAGGAGAGGTGGTGGAGTGTGGGGATTTGGGTCGGGTTCCGGTTTGGGCCTGAACTTGGGTTTTGGGTGGAGAGAGAGGAAGAGTCGTCGGGTTCGGGCTCGGAGGCTGCATGGAGAGGCTGTGGGTGTGCCATTTGGGGCGTGGTGAGTAAATCAGGGGAGGAGGAGATGGTGGTCATGGCCTCATGAAACTCGGTGGCGGTGGAGGTAGGCAGGACTTGGGGTTTTTATTTATTTTGACCTATTTTAATATTAATTTTTTCGGGAGGGTTTTGCTGCAAACCATAAACTTTGAAAGATATTTTGGATTATGGGTTGTGTATTTGTCCAAGCTGTATTTACAGCTTATGCCAATATATATATATATTTTCTAATTCTTTTTGGAATGCAATCCAATTTTTCCATGAACACCACTTAAATACTAATTTATCATGCTTATATCTTCGTCAAAGCCTAAGCATATTTGATTTAGTAATACACATTTATTTTGTTACAGAAAATTCTGAATATTATCGTAAACTTTGTTTGTTTGTTTGTTTTGTTGTTGAGGAGGAGAGGCAGAGAGAAAGGGAATTACAAGGGAGGAGTGAGAGGGAGAAAGAGTTTGTGGTGCACGTGCCGCCGTCGCCGGACAATGAGGAGATTGAGAAGATGGTGCTGGAGAAGAAGAAGAAGGAGCTGCCGAGCAAGTATACTAGTGGTGATGGGTTGTTGGAGGAGCAGACTGAGGCTAAGCAGATGCTTAACATTCAGCGCTAGAATGCAGACACCAAGAAAGAGAAAGAGTATGTTACTGTGTTTAATTTGACTCATTGACTGATAAAAAGTTGTTTGTTCTTATCAAATTGATGTTTAAGATGGATTTTTGACGTATTAATGTTCTGGCATAAGTTGAATTCTCTTTGATTATTGGTAGGCTTTGTGTAGTATTTAGATGGTGGATTGAGTAATAGTTGTCCTTGATGATGAAGCAAGTTATATTTGTCACTTTGGATTTAATTTCAAGGAGCTATAATGATCAGTTGATTATGACAAGTTTTGTTAGCCTTTCTACCACATGTTCTATTCTTTCATCAAAGTTTCATTACTTTGTTTGTTGCCGAGTTTATCTGGCTACCTCTTTCAAATTATGCTATAAGCTGTGTAAAGAAAGAACATATCAACTATATGTTATGAACCATCTCCCTTCTTTAGTGATGGTTGCTCTCTGGGCTTAGTTTTGGGCCCTTGGGGTTCTTCAACTCATTGTACAGGCGGCTGATTAGAAGGTTGGGTGTTTTGTTCTTACTATTTGTTCTGCTGACAAAGATTGAATGAGCTTGTGACGTAATTTCTGCTCAAACTTCCTGATTGATAATGCACGATTTGGAATATTATTATGAGCCACACAGTATGAGACACTAGCAGTCCTTGACTTTTCGTTGGTGGAAACTTTAGGATGTCGGGTGGAAAAACGATCGGATGCTATGGTGCAGGTTTGACACAACTTTCGGCCTATCTCGCAACATCTTGTGATGTTGATGGAATACCAGTATATGCAAGTCGTGATATGAGGGCCATAGGCGCATTGGTCACACAATTGGGGAATTTCATCATCATCTAATGCCTCGTCTCTCCTGGAGGAGCCTGCTAGTTTTCGCTACTTTCACAAGCTTTTAGTGCTCTTCATCACTGTTTGAGACTTTACATGTGCGACCATAACAGAGAAGAAAGAAATGTGAAAAGCATATGAACTCTAATCTAAAAGCATCCACCATAGGAATTGAAAACATGTACAGGCAAGAAGAAGGCAAGAAGACATAACCCTGAAACCTCCGTTAACATCTGTATGTACTCTATCATAAAACTAAAACTAAATAAAAGCCGAAACCAACAAATTAAACAGACCCCAAACACCAAAAATTACTAGAAATCAAAGCCACCGCCAAAGTCATCACCACCAAACCCAGCATCATACCCAGCGTCATAGGCACCCATCTCACCAACATCTCCAATCATATCTCCAATCAGCAAACCACCCAACAGTCCAGCTCCCATGCCAAGCGCCATGTTACCTCCTCCCCTCTTAGGCTTCTGCGGCGGGTACCCATATCCTGACTGAGGCGGGTAACCGTACCCGGCCTGCGGAGGTGGTGCGTACCCATAACCCGGCTGCTGGTGAGGCGGTGGTGGGTACCCACCAGGCGGCGGGTACGGGTAAGCTTGGGCAGGCGGATACGGACCCGCATGGGCCGCAGGTGGGTACCCGGAGCTTGACCCGGGATGCCCAGATGGGTAAGCCATCACGGGCTCATGGGTTTTCTTATGGGCCTCAGGAACAGGAACTGTGAACTTGTCACCAAATTTGTACCCGAAATTGATGGATCCTTTGGGCTTCCCACTGGAAGTTCGAACGCTGTAACCGACGTGCTTGATCTGGTTCTTCTGATCATCGCCGCCGCCCAAGCTGTCGAAGAGCTCCTTGAGGGGGATTTGGACTTTGCCGATCTTGGTGTCGCCCAAGCTGCGCTCGGAGACGAGCTTGATGTTGAGGGTGAGGCGGTTGTGGAGCAAAGCGGCGTCGTCGAGAGTGAACTTGATGGAGTAGTTGTTCCACTTAGGGTTTGTGCCGCCGTCTTTGGCGACGGGGGTCTTCGTCTCCTGCTTCTTGTTGCGGGGGTCGCCGGAGACCGAAACAGCGGCGTAGACGTCCATCTTGGAGAACATATTGACGTCCTTGAGGTCGCTGGCTGAGACGATTGTTATCTCCAAAGGCCTGCACTCCATGACGATTGAATTCTTGAGTTGGAAACTTGAAACTTGAAATCAGAGCAAGTGTTTGATATTTCTTTTGATTTGCGAACTTTAGAACTGTGAATTGGGAGTTGGCACGGAGAGCAAAACAATATATAGAGGAGCAAAAGCAAGGCCAGATTCCACGAAGCTTCTCTGATTTATAATTTTTTATTTATTTCATTTTAGTTTTGGATAAGTGGTTACAATTTTTTTCAGCTTTTTTTTTCCTATAAAATAATTACGTAGCAAATATTGTGAAATTGTTCCTAGAAAGAATCTTTCATTACGCGTATTGTTTATTTATTATTTTGGTTTATAAATTTACGCGGATGCGCGTGGCATGTGAATTTTTTATTTTTATTTTATTTTATATGGGAGCGTGATACATAATTAAAAACAGGAAATCCCAATTGTATACGTATTGTTTTGTTGTGGCTTGCCATTTGGCTAAGATTCACGGGAAAATTGCCCATGTCATTAATTAGGTTTAGTCTTCAAAAGATTGATTAAGGAAGAGGAAGGAAGTCAATTTACTGATTAAGATGTTAAATGGGGGAATGGGGCACAAAGTAAGTGACTGAAGGCCAGCCCCCTCTGACGTCATATTCATATTGATATTGATATTGACTTTAAATGTATCAATCAAAATAAAATTCTTATTTTTCCGTTTTTACACAAGCATAGCTGCATAAGAAAGGGGTGTCGACATAGGTGCAAGGGGCGGACTCATTATCTTGACAAACTGATTTAACTTTACGGTAAATTCTTATACTTTATATACTAATTTTATTCATGTGAAACTTTAGATGCTGATTTGGAACCCAATGAGCAACAATAAAAAAGAAGAGAAAAGAGTAAACAAAATTGAATAATAATGAAATACCTGTATCCAGATGGCCTTGTTGGTATTGAGTTATCAGTTAGAGCACCCCAGCAAATCCCCATATTTAATCTTTATCTTTGTCTCTGTCTCTCCCTCTTCTCCTCCTCTTGGATTCTTTTATTATTATATGAATACGAAGAGGTAGATGGTAATGGTTTGCTGTAAATATTTAACGCTGTGTGTGAGAGACGATTTCAATCTCAATATCCTTCAAAATCCTTTCCTTATTATGTTCGACAAATTAGTTTCCTTGTTTCTGTTTATCTGTTTATTTTTACCGACTTAAACTCTTCCTCCATTGCACTCCACCAGAGCCGTCTCTAAGCCTCTGGTTGATTTGGTAAGTTTGTTTTAATCATCACCACCAACTCCCTAATTATTATATTTTTTATCAAACCAACTCCCTAATTAAAGAAGGCTTCTTCCAATTAGGCTATGCATTCATTCAACACAAATCCATAACCATGGCTGCTTCTAGTTTTGGTTAGGATACAAGTAGAACAACAGTTAAATTAGGAGCTTCAAATCTAACCCGTTGGATTTATTGGATGGTAGGGATTAAACAAAAGGGTCTATTTTACAAGGCCCCACATTGGATATTGAAGGGCTGAAAACACGTAAATGGTACGTGTGAAGAAAAGGCAGCCGCTTTGCTTTTATCTTTATGCTTACGGGAGAAGGAATAGTTTGATGCGAACCATCCACCCAAAATAAATAAAAAATCGTAATTAGGATAAGTTCCAATTCCACCGCTTGGTTGGTTGAAATGCTCATTCTCCTACACTTTTTGGAACTTTGCAACTTGGACGAATTAAGGATTTGGAATTTGAATAACAAAGGAATGGAATTAAGAAGTTTCCGGCGGATGCTAGAAAAGTATAGGTATTGTAATGAAGGCATAATGGCTAACATTGTCTCAATCATAAACTCATGTTCTTTCGCATGTAAACTTTTCTTTTTCCTTTTATAAAGTTTTTATGCCAATTCCTAACAAAATTCACTGCTATTTTACGTCATGGAAATAAATTCGACTCTCAATCAATCAATCAAAGCATTGGGACTCTTGTGTCATTTTAAACATACGCTACGCCTCAAGCGAATCGTCAAAACTCTTTATATGTACGAGCAATAGGCAGCACAGCCTAAAAATAAAGAGATTATGGAAACTGGCCCAAAGAACAAAAGTTCAACCCAAAAAGAGAAAAAGAAAAAGATGGCACTATCATCAATATCATCATCTCAGTACAATCGGAGTATCCAACTTGTAAACAAACTAGTACATTTGAGAAGCTCTCTCTCATGTAAGCCCAAAATGCCGCATTTCAATTCATGTGGTGGATTCCATGTACTTGTCTTTTCCGTCTTTGCCTTGGCTTGGCTTTGCTTTATGGCATATAATTTTGCCCATATTTCCCCATCAAAGAGGATGGTACGGCACATAGCCAAGCAAGCCCTTGACGTTGGCTACGACATCGTTGCACCTAGTCAACAGGCTTAGCATCTGGTGTGAAATATCGACGCTGGGTGCACTTGGAAATGCAGTGGGTGTGTTGAGATGTTGACTATTTCTGGGTGGTGCCATTTCAGAATGGTGAGGTGGAAATTTATTATGCGGGGGCTTTGCATATTGAGGAGGAGCAAGTGGAGGAGCAAGGGGAAGAGGAAGTATAGGAGGCGATGATGAAAAAGTTGGAGGAGCATTGACCTTTTGAAAGTTCCTAGTATTAAAATCCATAGCAATAGAAGTAGTAGAAGAAGAATGTGCAGCAGCACCACCATCAGCAAAACTAGCACTGTTGTTGTTGAAGTTATTTCTATTACCAGCCATCATGAATTGATCAGTACTTCTACTACTTTCTTCCCCACCTAACATGAATTTTACACGTGCAGTTCCTTTACTATTTCCATTGCCACCGGTAGTTACCTGCCCTCCCGGCTCCTCGCCCGACGACTTCTTCAGAATCGACTTGAGCTGGACTGCACTCTGTGGAAGAAGAGCCTGCTGCTGCTGTCTGAGTGCCGATGCCATTGCTGTTGACTGCCCCGCTGATGAATCCTTAACCCGCAGGATCTCACTGGGATTGTCGCCCTTGCCGGTATCTGGAACTTCAGGACCACCCACTTCTCGAATTTGGCACCTCACACTAAAGTTGCCAAAAAGTGAGCTGTTTGCGGTAGCAAACTTCAATGCTGCTTGTGCATCAGATTTGTGCAGAAAGACAACCCGGCATGTTGCGGACTTCCAAAAGACACGGAGACCGGACTGATCCATAGGCCCAAATCGTGCAAACTTTGCCTTCAGTTCTGCAAGTGATGGGAGAGAGATTTTGGGAGGGAACTTCATCACCAGCATTGTGGGCTCAACTGCCTTTGATGCAGGCTCTGTTTTCTTCGCAAAACCTGGCTTGATTGACCTTCGCAGAAGCGGTACCGCTGATTCTTTGGCCTCCACACGCTTGGATTCTAAAGCTCTCTGACTGGCCTTCTTCTCTGCAGCCAACGTTTTCAGATCACTAATTTTCTTGGACCTCTTAGCTGCGATATCTCCTTGACGGTCAGATGGGGCACGCTTCCGCCCAGCTATGGTAGGGTCGTCGGATCTGAACATGGGTTTTGCTGCCTTTGAGAATGGCAAATCTCTGACTTGCTCAGTAGGCGATATGTCAGAGGCTTTGACACCAGATGGAGATTTAGAGGAGCGAACTTCAACAGGTTCAGTCTCGGAGGGTGGTGACAGAACCAAGCTTTTCTGGTAGACAAGGGACCGGAAGTGCAGAAAGAACTGCCGAACAATTGCAGGGCTGTTTGTTTCAAAACCATGAAAAGGATCAAGGGCAAGGGCTTGCAAATCACTTACCAGTTGTGGTAGTTCAAGCTCCACATCTCCCAAGCCAACAATTGGAAATTTTCCAACAGCTTCAGACGAGTTATTACTGGCAACAACATCTTTCTTATGATGTTCTACCTGGATGTCCTCTCTTGGAGCCAAACCTACATCCTTGGAATTTCCTGCAACTTTACTCCCCGAGGAATGTACCTTTCCAGAAGTCAAAGGCTTCTGTGGGTTTCTGAAGCTTGCTTCAGAACCTAACTGTTTCTTCTTTTTCTTTTTCCTGTTATCCCCCATCATAGAGTCCTCAGTGCGCAAGTCCTCTGCACGCCGTTTAAGAACCTTTGCTTTTTTCACTCCACCAATAGCCTTCATCCCACCTGAACTCTTTGCCTCAACTGAGGAAGGATCTCCAACACCACGACCATCGCGAACTTGATTCAATTCATAACCTCCTTCCACTTTCTTCAAAGAACTTGAAGGTTGTTGAAAATTTTCATGTGATCCAGACAATTTTGCACTCTCTTCACATTTAAACTCAACCAAACCCTCACCTTCCTGCTTTAAAGGTTGTGATGTACCATCTTTTGTACGTTGCTTGGTCTCTTCCCCAAATAAATCAAGACATTCTGTGCTTGTACCTCCCTCTTTTACTTCCTGAAGAGCCCCTCTTTCCTTGTCAAGAGATGGCTTTGCATCTTTAGTAACATCTTGGGTGGTGAGAGAGCTGTTTGCTGTTGCCTGATCTATGATTACAGCTTCTTTCCCATATACATCCGTACTTGAAACTGTAGAACTGCTGCTTATAAAATCAGTCTGTTCATGTTTTGCTGTAACCCGAGTCTTTGTAGAGACAGCTGGAGCCCTCTTCTGTACCGTATAATCCCCATCTACTAATGGTATTGATCCCTCCAAGCCAGCAGATGGGGCCGAGGAACTAGCTTGGCCCTGGCTAGTTAGATGGGTTTTCAAGTTACCAGGTTCATCTCTCCGTTTGAAAACGTATTTGTCTTTCTTTGAATGATCCTTGACTTTCATGGGTTTCGTGGCATTCTTCCGCCCACCCAGAACTTCAGCAATCACCAATGGACCACTCAAGGGAGCTGGTTAAGGAAACAATCCCATTAGAAAATCTTGTTAAGTGAATTCAACTTAAAATACAGATGGAAAAACATCTAATTTGGCTTTGTGCAAATTAAAACAGAAGAATTGGGCAGGAGTTAAGGACACTTCAGGGTACTTTAAGATGCAAATAGTAATGTAATACCCTGAGGGTTTTCTAGACATTGTCTCCATACTTGCACAATGTTATGAGTCAACCCAAATTCACTGGAAAGGCATAAGGAACAAAAACATACACCAAAAAAACCAAATCTGTTATCTGTTAGGTCTAATTTTGGAACACTGAAAGGGTAAGAATCTGGCATAAATCATGATGTGAAAGGCTACTTGGGATAACACCAAGACCTTTGACATTCAAGGTCTATGATTAATTATCTTTAATACCAATAACAAAAACAAAATTCAGGTTTATATCCCAAATTTCCCATAAATGCAACTACAAGGGACCTTCCTGTAGCAAACATATCAAGATGCAATCATCACAGTAAACTGATTAAGCATTTCATTATCCACATAAAAGCCAATAATTAAATGCATGAAAGCTACGGCTGCAAATACAAAAAGATATTAAGGTAACTGATAACATTTAGTTCTGCACATTCATCTACAGTTATGTTTATTATGCAGTCCCACCCTTAAGACAGGGAGGGTGATCTCCACAAGAGCTACTCAAGCATTCCTTGCACTAGCACAGACACAAGTAAGTTACAGCATGAAGGCCCAAAATTGATTATTATTTATCACCAACGATTATGAGAAAGTATTAAAATACCTCGAGGTGGGTCCACCGGGGCAACTAGTTTACGAGAAGAGCGTCCTTGATGCACTCCGAATGCCTGAGCATAGGTCTCATCATACTCTTCAAACACAGCCTTACGAAATGCAAATGCAGTAGCCTTATTCTTATTAAAGTTAAGGCTCTTCTGATCATCACCGTGTGGTAACACGGCCAACTGCTTTAAGAAAGACAAGATCTCACTCGGCTTAAAACTATCCCTCACCTTCTTAATCTGATTCTCAGAATAAACTGCTCCCGGCTCATAATCCGGCACATCAACAACAAAGTACCCTTGCACACTTGTGGCCCGGAAATTATAGGGGTTCCTACATTTACAAGCCAAACCAACTCCACATCTGCGATTCGCCTCATCAACAGCCTCTTCCACAGCCTTCACAAAGGTCCTGTGATTCGTCTGCAGAGATTTTTCAGCAAAATGGGGATCAAATGGGATAAGCTCAGCTGGGTCGAACCACCCATAGCTACTATCACCAAAGAAAGCCACCAACACATGACCTTCCCTTCGTGTCCGGCGCACCTGAGACGATGCAAATGCCTCGTTAAATATGTGTCCCGGCCACCATGGATGAGATTTTACCTTTCCCCACACCAAATCACCCACTTCGAACCCATAGCTAAGTGCCCTCGACGTTCCAAGCGCTACTCCACTCTTCTCATTAGCCACAAACTCATCAAACTCAGATAACAAAGACCGGTGCTCATAAGACTTACCCTTCTCCACATCTGCACGGTCATCTTCATCATTTTCATTCTCAAATTTTTCATAATCCTCGTCGATTTCGATCCTTCCAATGTCAAATACGTCGTCCTGATCATCATGGAATACAAAGACACTCGCTTTTTCCACCTGAATTCCAGAGCCCTTTGATTCCATCACTTTATCTACATTCCGAACGTCACTCTCCGGACTAACCCTAACCCTAACCCTAGCCCTATCCTCCTCAGATCTTCCGCTTCTGGAAACCCGGGAATCACCAGCCTCGCTCTCCGGAGCTCCTGAATCGAACTCCATTGTTGAAACCCTAGCTTCATCTTTTGAGCTACCGGCAACGCCTTCGGAAACCCTAGCTCTAGCTTCCTCAACCTCTACAGTGGCACCTGATTTTCCGTCCAATTCGAAATCGTTGTTCATCACAGAGATCTTCGAACCGCCTATAATCGAAATCCTCCGAAGCTCTAAAGAAACAGAGTTGGGGGGTCCCAACGAAGAGGCATACCTTTCTATCGTCTCGTGATGCGGATATGAAAGTACGAGAGTTTCCAGGAAAGTGCCAGAAAGTGTGGGATTTTGAGGGATGCAAATAAACCCTATAGAGAGGGAGATAGAGGAAAGGAGAAGGTGTTTGGATGGTAAGAAAATATGGGAGAATTGTGATTTTTCTGGGTTGCGAGAATACCAATAATAACACTATGTTCACTCTACTCTCATGGGTCGGGCAATTATACGATACAACACCAATTATAGACTGTTACGGTATCACCACGTCAGCCGATAAAACTTCCATTCAGAATTTGCCACACATCTATTTTTAAATAAAAAAAATTAATTGTTTGTACGACTGGACTTTAGCTTCTAATATTATCCTTTAGAATAAAATTAATTAAAAATACAAAGGGCAAAAAGAAAAAGTAAGACTGCGTTAACCTCCCACCACCCCAATCGTAGTACCCCTCCACTACTCCTTCTATGTTTCAATTCCTCCCCCTAACTTCAATTTCCTCATTTAGGTTGTCTTCACCAATAATAACACTATGTTCACTCTACTCTCATGGGTCGGGCAATTATACAATACAACACAACACCAGCGCAACGAGAAATTATAGACTGTTACGGTATCACCACATCAGCTGATAAACTTCCATTCAGAATTTGCCACACATCTATTTTTAAAAAGAAAATTTAATTGTTTGTACGACTGGACTTTAGCTTCTAATATTATCCTTGACAATAAAATTAATTAAAAATACAAAGGGCAAAAAGAAAAAGTAAGACTGCGTTAATCTCCCACCACCCCAATCATAGTACCCCTCCATTGCTCCTTCTATGTTTCAATTCCTCCCCCTAACTTCAATTTCCTCATCTAGGTTGTCTTCATCTTCCTCAAAACCTCCAGTTCCAGTTCCAAGTTCACTTTGTCTAATTTTGCTCTCAAGCTCACATGGGTTTAACAAGAGAAGATCTCAAAAACTATGTACGCAATTTCTGAGTTGACCTAGTGCTGAAACTCGTTCCGAAATATGTACGGGAATAATCACTAATTTAACTATACAAAAAAACAAACTTAACTAAAAATCCCCAAGAAACTCTTTTGTATGCAGTGTAAATTTTTGCACCATTTGGAATGTGAAGATAAAAGACAACTACAAAATAAAGTGATTCTTGGAACAAGTGGGAGAGAGAGAGAGGTGAAACAAAGACGAAGGAAAAGGGGGAGGGGTGGCAACTAAGGGTAGGGCACTGCCGAGTAGGGGTGGTTGTTGTTCGATAAGAGCGAATCTTTCTCCAAACTGCAAACCGACCGACTATTTGCGGTAAGGTGATTTTTGAAACCACAAAAATCAGTCGGTTACCGTGAATTAACGGTTTAAACCGATTTGAATATTTTGGTCCTAAATTAGACAATTTTAGATCTTTAAGTGTGGTCTTTTTGTGTCATCAAAATTCAATCTTCCACACTTTTAAGCCTAGGTTTGATTCTTCTTTTGAAGTTTTTTGAGTTCAAGCATACTTTAACCAAAAGAAATAAATTCACAACTTCAACTTCACAAGCATTCACAATCTAAAGAAAAATCCAATTCAAAGTTAATTAAAGTTACAAACCAAAAGGAGAACTCAAGTGTAGGTAGTGGTGAGTGGATTTTGTTATAAGAAGAAGCTTTTCTTTATGAGTTGGAGTGAAGGTTGTGTTTCGGGTGTATCGGTTTGTATTTGGGGGATTAGAGGCATTAGGTGTGTTAGAGTGGCTAGACTCTATCTATAACACAACACAACACAACACAAAAGCAACAACATAAAAGCATATTAATAATAGATTAAACTCAACCAAATTAAAACACAACATATAACTACTAAAATGCAATTTTAAAATATATATATTTGTTGTTTGCGGTAACCGTGAGTTGTCAAAATCACATACCGCAACTGCAACTGCAATTGCGGTTCGGTTTCTAAAACTGCAATTTTCGGTTGGTTTTTAGCTATTGCGGTTCCAATACGGTATAATGTCAGTTCGTTTTTGCAGTTTTTCGGTCAAAAATGCTACCCCTACTGCCGAGTGCCAACATTGGTCACTAAGTTCTTCTTTTAAATTTTTTTTTCCTAAAGGGTAAAATTGGAACCAAATATCCTACTGGAAAAACAGTTAAAAGTTTCTTTTAATAAAGACATGTGGCAAATTATGAGTGGGAGTATCACTAGCTGACGTAGTAAATACAGTATACCGTATCACTCTATAATTTCTCTAGTGGAACGTAAGGCCATTAGGACCCTGCCACGTCAATAATGGTGCACCCAATTTTCAGTTTCTTTTTCTTTTTCAGTTTTTTACTTTTTTCTTCATTGCTTTAAGCTCCTTTTTTTACGTTCATATTTTTCTCACCCATCACAAAATTATCATTCAGATTCAGAATATACCTTCGAAATACTTCAGACAAAGGAAAAAAGAAAAGTTGCTTTTAATATACATAACCAACATTGAGCCCAAGAAATCAAGAAACCAACAATGTATCTTTTAAAGTGCGTTCAAGGCTTGTGACCTTTACATGTAATTTAGCCGAAAACGATGGTAAAAAGTTTTGTAGGAACATGAGTGGATGAGTAAAGTAACAGCTGAAAATAGCAACACTTTCACTGAGGGCGAAAAAGGAAAACTGAAATTATTTGAACTACATCCTTTTTGCACGGCGATTGAGATTTGGAACATACAATGTGCGGCCAACAAATTTTGTGTGCCCTTGACCTCCATTTATCTATGAGCGTTTGAAGAATTAAATAACAAAGAGCTGGTCCTTGAAAATCAAAAATAAAAAATTCAACAATTTTTTATTTTTAATCTACGCGAAGCGGTTCAGCTGGATTGATGCCCACCCCTACTTCCAACATTATGAAATGAAAAACATAACTCCATTAAAATAGAATAATTACATTGAGCACACAAATAACTCAAGGAATGATAAATTTGAGAGGTCAATCAAGTATTTCCATTAAGGCAACAAAGTATAAACAATGAGATCTACACTTCACTTAATATATATATATATATATATTCACTTTGAATACAAACTCCAACAAAAATTGGTGACCCAAAAGAATTATATAGCACTCACAGACATGAAACTACATAACTGAAATTGCAGACATGTATTCATGCAAAAACCCCAAGTGGGGTCCTCTCTCTCTCTCGCCAGTAAGAACCTCATATCTTATTTCTATCACAGGAAAGAACTTGGTTGAGTATAACAAAAATATATCAAAATGAGTTAAAAAAAATTCAATGAGAACCAAATCTATCATGTAACAACCCCTATTCATTTGGCCTTGACAGCTATTTAGGCATCGTCCGCTTTTTCATTACCAGGCGTTCCAGCAAGCCAGCCCCAGACGCCGCCTGAGCTCTGCCTTTTAGCATTCAAAGCTGCTTGTTCGGATGCAGCCTTTTGTCGCTGGAGGAGTTCAAGTTCTTTCTGCAATGCCTCCATTGTTTGCAGCTTCTGTCGAAGTTCTGCAAGTTCAACCTGCAGGTTCAAAGAGTAATTAGCAGAAAACCCAGATTATGACCAATGTTTCGAGGCAGCCTGATCGTATCACAATCAGGCTGCTCACTAAGGTCAGCTTAAATGAATAGTCATAAGGTTAAACACCTTCCTCCTGAACCTCAATTTTTTCACACAGATCATCCCAGAAACTATTACAAGGTCAACAAAAATTTGAACTGAAAGTGCGAGAAATCTTGTTTGGCAAAGGAAACATCTAGATCAACCGAGAAACAAGTGATAAGAACATACCTCAAGTTTGAAACATCTTGACTGCTCAGATGCAAGTTGGCCACGTACAGATTGAAGCTCCTACAAAGTTAGTACAAGGAAATTAATGGCAATTCCTAAGAAAGGAAAAATACACAAGAATTATGTGTACCCTTGAAAAATTTGAGAATCACCACCAACAGTGGACAATAAAAAAATCTCCATTTAGTCTCCAGCGTGAAGAGAAGCCAACCAGAAATTAGCACCATTCACAATCACAAAGGATCGGATTCCAGTCATAATTTCCTTGTGAACACAAAGTTGCAAAAAGCAACAAAAATATATCCAGCTCCTTTTTATGTATACGCATCATTGCACATAATAATAGTTACCTTGTACAGGTCAGTGTTTCGAGTCTCTGCTTCTGCTAACTTTTGCTTTAATTGGAGAGTTTGTACTTTCTCCTTGCTTAGTGATGATTCTAATTCTTCTTTCTCTGCTTTGAGGGTTGCTATAAGATGTTCATTGGTACTCTTGCCTCTTGCTTTCTGCAAAAGAGTGAATAAAATAACATTAAAACTCAATATTGTGGCCAAAAAAACATGAAAAATCAGAGATGCAGAGTAATACAAGATCAATAAAATTTATCGGACACTGGTAACTACTGGATCATTAAGAAAGTGGTAACCATAGACGACTTTAATAAAGTAAATAACTTCTGGAAATAAAAAATAAGGTTGAAAAAGAAGTTCTAATGACAATCAGATGGGGGTGCCACATAAAATAAAAACAAAGGCCAAATCTCTACATGCTTTTCAAAGTCACATACCATGAGATCTGACTCAACATTGTCCATAACGATTTCCCTAATTTTTCCTTCTTGCCCTGCTTCAAACTCAGACTCCACATCTCTGGTACCATTTGTGGCATTAAGCACAGCAGAAACACTGTCTGGCACAGGAGTTTCCATCATCTTTGATTGCAAGGTTGACTTGTGGCTTGGTTTAAGAACGTTAACCTAACATCAAGAAACAAATTTAACAAGAACATAGAATAAGAGCAGAGTAAGCCAAAAGTATATTGGAGTCTGATCCTCACCTCATTGTTGTAACGCCCATTGTACCCTCCAAATGATACAAGTACATCTTCACCATTGTAAGAACCTACGGCCAAACTTAGTCCCTGAAATAGGAGACAATCAGATAGCGGTGCCACTACATAACTGCTGGCAGTGAAATAATCTCACACTTGACAGAAGGCCATGTTACCAACCCCTCATGCAGGCATCTCATCATGATTTATGATTAATACAAGGCACAGAGCTCAAAGCCGTTCAAGCTAAGTTGACTATACAGAGTTTCCAAAAATAAATTACCTCACTAGCAACAGGAATGCGCCCTTCAACAGTAGTTACAACAGACCAAACAAGTGTAGACATATTTAGGACAACAGTTTCTGAAGCCCCTGCAAAAATTCAAAATGAAGAGATAAATACCTAACTTCATGGAGTAAAATGGATTCCTGTTAAGAAGTAGATCCACCAACACCTACGAATTCCAGAACCAACCAGATGCCAAAATAGTAGCATACATACCACTCTTGTTGTCACCACCACCAACTATGAACCAATTCTCCCCAACTGTTACACCTGCATGTCCAGCCCGTGCAGTTGGTATCTCACCCTGTTGTGTGGGTCTTGACCATTCCATCTATACATTCCAAATATATGAAAGACATGAGTGATAGTTTTACTGAAAAACAAGAAACAAAAATTCTAGAATAGAGTAGTTATCTTACAGTTTGCAAATCAAGGACATGCAGATCATTGTAACAAGTGGCATGGGAACCCCCACCAAAGATAAGGAGGTAGCGGTCAGCATGAACAGCAGCAGTGTGATCAGACCTTGGAGAAGGGGGCACCCCTCTGTGAAAAAGTGAAATATATTAACCTCAAAGGTCAATCCACACATAAGCGTATGCCTTGAACAAATATTTTCCAGCCTACCCCACCCCAACCCATTAAAAAGATATGCCAAATTTTTTCAGAAAGCAACAAAATTTCCTTTTTCATCAGCGGCAAAAAACTGTTAACAAAATTTGCCAATTCTTTCAAACAACCAAAAAATAAAAAATAAATAATGCTTGTGCTTCTGAAGTTGCCAGTTATATCTTACATGGCATCAATCTCATCCCAGGTCATTGTTTCTAGGTCAAGAATATGCAGGTCATTCAAGAGAGTTCTCTTTGCATCTTGTCCCCCAAAAATTACCAAGCCACCTCCAACAAGGGACACAGATTGACCCCCACGTGATGCCTGTAAAACATGAATAGGAAAGGATATTGACTTCCAAATTCCAAGCCCACCATTGTGTTTTACAATGAGATTTTATACACACACAAAAATATAAATATAAATAAATAAATAAATACCGGTGGTTTTCCATAAGTCTTTAAGAATGACCACGTGCAAGTATGTAGATCAAATGCCTTCACTGCCATGCCAAAACAGGGAGAAAAGAAAAAAGAAAGTTCAAGAAAACAGTAAAAGCATCAATGTTTTAAACAAATATAAAATAATAAAAAAAGAGGCAAAATAATAAGCCTGCATGACTGTAAAAATTAGTTTTCTTTCTACTTGGATATCACATATTCAATAATCAAAAGGATCGGCCTTAAAAAGCTTGAACTGAATCGAAACAGAGGTTCTATTGGGAACTGATTAAAGCAGAAAGATAAAGATATCATCCAAAGTTTCAAACCATCAGAAAACCAAAGGACATTAAGATAATAATTTGTACCCTCAATAGAATCAGAAGGATCCTTTGTATGTCCAGCAATTGAAATAAGTTTATTCTCCCATGATATCTACAGAAACAGAGAAATGATTGCACATTACTGTGGGTATCTGAATCATTGCACGAAAATTCAGCAGAAAGAGATGGATATTGTCCAAAAGTGTATCTTTGGAATAGAGCCTTGATTATAATATTAATCAAATTATACTAACCAAGGAATGACCAGCACGTGCGGTTACTGTTACAGGAGATGGTGACTCTAGTGACTCAGCCCCAGCTTTGGCCTCAATCTTTGACCAACTCCAACTCCTCAAATCCAAGGCCTGTATTGTACTTCGAATATGTGAGAACAAGAAAATGTAATTACAACCATGTAAATTCAAGTATACAGAACATCAAGTTCGAATATAAACTTATAACAATACAAAGGAAGCACCACAACCATAGAGCTTACAATCATTAAGAACACTTATATATCCAAAGACACTTTTCTTCACAAATGAAGAATGAATATTACAAGAGTGCCACGTGGAACCCACCTACACAAGCTAAATAATCCAACTCAGAAAATTGTTCTCTTTTTCTTCTTCAGATGCGTAATGTATCATTCAGTATACCAATATATAAGAATCATAGCAAACACTCCAAAAAATTTACACCACTATTATAGTAAGACTTGGAAAACTGTCCAATGTAGAATACTTATGATTTTCAAATGTTTATAGGCGTGTACATGCAAATAAGTTGCTTACATGGAGATCATTTAGGTAGCGACCATTGTGGTTTCCACCATATATGTACATCTTGTCTTGAATAACTGCTGCTCCATGCTGAAATCGTGAGAACACATTGCTCAAAAAGAAGAAGGCAAAGAAGATAAAGAAAATGAAAATACAGAAATCCAAATACCTCATATCGGGATTTCGGACGAAGGCCAGATATTGGAGGTGCAATCCATTGATCATAAACACCAATTGAACCAAAGCCTTCAGAGACAACATCTTTATCCTGAGCTTCCACTATGCTCCCATTTTCAGTGGAGATTGTCTTGGTCTCAGGGAAAGGGTTCCCATTCTCGACAACTGGGTGAACATTTGAACTTTGCTATAACCAACCAAAAATCGCACATACACACAGAGAAAAGCACTAGGTAAGAACAAAAGAATGAGGAAGAGTCGCATGCTCATTGTAAGGCCAAAGAATAAAGTCTCTAAAAGATTTGCAGAATTAAGGTATTGATATCAGACTCTACACCATTACTGATCTTTTCAGATGTTAAAAAAGGAACTTATGTGGGATTCCTACCAACAGTCATAACTTATTAAATTAAGTAATGTGAGCGTAGTGCAACAAACATGGAGACAGAAGTTATGGTGGTGATATATTATAGGGCAGATAAATATTGGCGTGATGTAGGAGTGGACCAAGTGGTGATAATGATTCGTAGGGTGTACTACAAACACCTCTCTTGTGTCTAATTCCTGATCAGTTGGCAATAGACAGGGAAAGAAAATACAAAATTATAGAAACAACTTCCAGATTACTCACATTCATTTGTACATCTACCACAGGATCTGAAACAAAGTTTGATGCTCTTGAATACCAACCTGGATCTTCTTCCTACTCAAAAAAGAATGCAAACCAAGATAAATTAGTGAAGGTTCTTGGTCACATGACAAAAACATGGACCTGGAAATCTTATTGCGCACACCTCTAATATTTTCACAAAAAGACGCATTGCTTCAGTGGAAGCCATGTCTGCAAGCTTCTTCCAGCTGCAAATTGTATATGCAGAACGCCATTAAATTTTTAGAAAGAAAAAAAAACTCAATATAGTACGAATAAGTGCATGATGGTGCATATAAACATACACACTCCCAGACGCACAAACACTGGCACATGTATGCCATCATAAAATGAGAGAACGAGAGAAAGTTGTAAATATAAGCATACCTGCTCCATTTGCTTTTCTCAACAGCATTCCAAGCACTAGGTTCAGGTGTGTTGCAAGGCCCTACTGTAGCCTGGAATTGCAATCGTAAAAACAATTAGACGAGTACAATAGCACATATTAGATTGAAATGCAAATTTACATGCATCCATCATTACACATACATACAGATATGATTGCATATAAACAGAGATTTCAATTTAAGTTTTAGATCAACATCCTAAATGTACAAATCTGGATTTCGATATGCCAGATCTACCTGATTCAATCTAAGTTGCATATAATTACACAACGTAAACACGAAAGAATCAACGCAAAAATCGAACACACTACCGAACAAGCAAAATCAACAACCACATCACTAATCAAAACCACGTCAAAACGCAAATCAACCACACCGTTTCACCGAAATCCAATCAAAAATTACAAAACAAAACGATTGCAAATAGAAAATATGAACATCGCAAATGTTGTTCCAGAGTGAAAAAAGACGATGAACCGCAGAATTGACATTTGTACTGGCAATGCGATCGAGAATCGAGGATTTATGATTGAGATCAATTTTCAGACCAGAAATGAAGTAGAAAGAAAATAGTGAGAAGAATGGGATCGAGGAGGCAGTGGATGGAGGTACCTGCTGGTACAAAGCATAGAGTATGAGAGCGGACTCGGAGTTGAACTTGGAGCGGACGGCTTTGGAGGAGGAACGAGGAGATCCGTCAAAGCCAGCGTACGAGGCCGCCGCGTAAAACCGCTCGGGGTATTGGAGCCCCGAGCTCGCCCGAGCCATAGCCATTTTCTTCTCTTTCTCTCTCTCTCTGGGACGGGTCTCTTTGCGCCTGTTTTGTAAAGAGAAAGAGAAACGTATTTCTGGGGTTTCAATTTTTTTGGGGGATTTTAATTAGTTATGTGGGTTGGGATTTGAGAAGTACAAGTGAAGGAAGTGATTGTTTGTTTATGGTGTGATTTATAAAATGTGGGCTCAAATCTTTTTTTTCTTTTCTTTTTCCTTTGTTCCCTTGGTTTTCTTGGCATTTGATTTTCTGGTAAGTCGGGCAGGGGTGCGACTTTGGGGTATAAAGGTGGTGCTCATTTTACTACTTGGTGATGTTTGGGTAGTATTAATTAGCTTGGGACCAATTACTAATGGAAAATTTTCACCTAACCTGATTAAATAATACAAATTTATAAATAAACCCAATCCTAGACATGTATTTATAAAAAAACTCAAGCACTATTTAAACATAGAAACACACCCAAAATCAACCATAAAGTCAACTTTTTGGGTGTGTTTATAAATGGGTTTTGAGTGTGTGTAATGATGGGTTTTGGGTGTGTTTATAAAGTGTTTTGGATGTTGGGTTTTTTTATAATTTCAACCTCCATTTTGGGTGTTTTAGTGAAACTCCCATTAAATAATGGTATCTCATAACTAGTCACTAACTTGAAATGTTTATTCACAAAAAAAATTTACAATCTTATTAACTGATCATCGTAATTAGACCACATAAATATATGTTGAACACTAAATTATAAATTAGATACATTAGGTCAACAGGTCTAGCTCAATTAAAAAAGGCTTTGACTTGCAGACTATTAATCTCATCTTCGAATTCCATGACACTTTGATAGTGTGTGTGAGAAACCCTATTTCAATTATAGTTTAGACTATCGTTTGTATTCAACAACAAAAAAGAGATACATTAGTCATACACTCTCGTAATTAAGACAAAAGTTTACATTTCTCTATACCAATAAATTTAAGGATGATCGACTTTAACCTGACCAATCGATTTTTTAGTATCTAAATTTTGTGAAAATTTTGTATGTCAACTCTATACTTTCTATAGCTCATTTATGATTGAATCGAATATAAGTAATGAAATTGTATTTGCATCCCAAGAGGCAACATAACAATAAAAGCATTACTCTCGTAACATGCAAGCTTAAACAAAGATTCCTAGTTTTGTATGGTATGAAATTTATTCCATATAAAGTAAATCATAAGTTTCAATTTGAGAGGATGGCATTGCGAAACCTAAAATGATGAACGTGCATCCTTAGCTTAGATAGTGCAATCACACATTCACAAATTTATTTAATTGTCACCTTGGCCACCTCTAAATGATACCTATCCATTCGAAATAACCTCTTAACTAATCCCACCTTTGCTCAATGTAAACCCAAAGCTACCCAACCAATGGCATTATCAAATCCTTAACTAAAAACTCATTCACAATGCATGTGGTTGACTTTTCAGGATAAAATATATTAGTATTTACTCGTTAGACAGTGTAATCAGGTCATATTCGGACCGACTCAATTTGTTTGATACACTTTTATAAATGTATTGTGTTTTGTTGTTACAATTAATAAAATTATTATTTTTTCTTTTTGGAGCTTGCTCTTTCTTTACCTTATCATGTAATTCATGATTATTTTCCATTGGGTTGTGTTGCTACTTCGCGTCATAGCTTTGTGTTTCCTTAATTCCATCCACAAATTTCTAGATGTGGTCAGCATTGTAATGGTGAAAAACATTTACTAGTAGGGAATTTGAATGTCCTTAAGCCAATTAATTGGGATAAGTCATAATAGGCAGAGTGAAAGGGACAAATATCAAATACAGATAAGGTTTAGCGGCATCATATTATCAAAAGATACCAAACTACTTAGTGGGGGCATGAGGTCATTGTGGGTCGTCTTCCTTCATATGTTCCTGCATCACTTAAGCAATTTCCCAATTTCCATGGTGAGATCATCTTCTTCTTCTTCCTTCTCGAACCACGGGAGACAATAACTCATCCTTCTCCTCTTCCTTCAACAGCAACAGCTCCTACAACTTCCTATCTATTAATTCTAAGAGCACGTTGAATTCTCTTTGTCTGTGTTTCAAGTATTGGAAGCAATTGTTTCTCCAACTCAAGCATATCTCGTACTCGTATTTGCTCATTCGTTAATTGAACATCATCTTTGATTCCCAACTTATGGTTGCAAAAACCTTATTTTGCACATATATGTAAGATTCGGGACCCAACCCTTGTATGCTAGCAAGCAGAACTCCCTTTCGAAGAAAGCTCTACTCCTTAAAGATCAGGTAGTCTCTGTCAAGTGGCCTATTAAGCACAAATGTACAGCCCAATTGTATATTTGGGGCTAAATTGGGGGATATCCTCAAGGGGTATTATTGGCAAATCAACACCTCTAAATGAACACACAAATAATAACAATTTTATATAATTAAGTTTGATCGATATAACATTATTCTTCATGCCACAATACAATTAAGTTTCTCCAAATCAAAGATGGCTACTTGGGTAGTTGGTTCATGATGATGGGGATTTTAAGTTTCTATAGATGCTTTTGATTCGGTCAGTGATATTGTATTTAATCAGTAACGTTGCTATTTAGTTCATCTCATGTTGCAATTCATTGTGCTTTACCTTTACATATATATGGTATGTGGGCTATAGATAGTTTTAGTTGTTTATTCAAAATGGGTTATATATGAACTCTTACATGCCCTTGCCCCTTGTCAAGTAGTGGTTGAAATGCATTCCCAGCAACAACAGTTGGTTAGTGTGGCCAAATTGCTTTAAGTACGCATGTAACATGCTAATGCATCCATATTTACAGATGTATGAGACAGCTAATTATCCACCAAAGCGATCAAAAGATGTAATAAATATCCACTACAACATTGTTTGCAAATATGGAATCTCTACACTAAAGATTCATATGTTCTTTCTACATAACAACTCGATAGTGTGCAACTATTTCATCGCTTTGAGAACACCACCAAGATCAACATGGACATGGACATGAACACCACAATTTTGAAGCCATAGCTTTCCCAGAAGCTTTGTTGTTCAGCAGCGTGAAGCTCCACGACCATTCGCTGTGATTTATCTCTTAGCTCTTTCAAAGCTTTTGTCTCTTCGCTCACCCCCTATCACAATAAATATATAGTTGCAGTAAAAAATTGATTGATAATGACCTAATTGAAACCACAGTAAGTCTATTGGCGATGGCCCGAACACTCTCACTAAAGCCTTACTAATATTCTGGAAAATTTGGGATGCTTGAAACAAATGTGTTTTCCAAAATGTTTCTCCACATCTCGTGAGAGTTCTAAATGTTGTTGGTCAAATTGGTATGGACTACTGGAAACTAAATTTCAAGTCTTCCTCTAGATTGTAGTGCGTGAATGACATTAAATTGGAGCCTCCTCCTATGAACTGGGTTAAAATTACTTTTGATAGTTATGTTTGCTAAAATAAGGTTGCTACTAGGTTTATTGTTCGAGATTTGAATGAGCATGTGTTGCTAGCAAATGCTAAAAATGTTGGTCAAGCCTTTATAACTGTTGCGAAATGTCTTACCTTGCGAGACATCCTTGCACATGCAGTCCATAATGGTTGACTTAAGGTTTTTGTGGAAGGAGACTCTAAACTCGTTATTGATTGCATCAACAATCCCTATTCCTTGGTGTATTATGATGTTAGTTCAAGATATTTGGATGCTGGCTTCATCTTGTGAAGAAGTTTCTTTTAATCATGTCTTTAGATAGACCAATTTTACTATGTATGTTATCGCTGATTTAGGCCATGAACTTTCCTCGTCCCATTTGTGGGAGCATGGTCTGAGGCTAAACTTTTCATTTCCTTTTTATTTTGATTTGTTTGGGCTTGCGGGCCCTCGTGGTTTTTGGTTGTGATTGTTTTTATTTCTCTATAATAAAAATATGGGGATGCCCAAATTTTAACATTCAAAATTGAGGGTTAGGAGATTGTTCTACTCCTTCATGATCCACTTACTAAATTCACTACTCATATTTTGAAATATGCATATTCACATTGTTGACAATTTTAATAAGGTGATTATAACTAAAAGCCAAGATGACCGTAGGTAAACTCAACATTGTAGTTGTATGGAGGACCTCCGTGTTGAAATTTGACTCACCAAAGGGATGTAAGAAAGGTGGAATTCATGCGTAGCAGCTGGAGTAAGAGATGAGCAAAAATCTGAAGGAGTCGATCGGTCGAGCCGAACAATCGGTCATTTTTTGACACAAAGCTCAGGATTGCTAGTTGTTTCAAACTGACCGATCGAATCTCCATGTCGACCAGTCTTTTTCTTCTTGATGGAATTTTTTCCAAACATTTTTGGCTTGGTTTTCATGTGTTTTTAGTTCCCATGATTATGTTGGGAAGCTTGTGAGCTATTTTAGGGAGTTAAGAATTAGTTTGGGAAGGGGGAATTGATTTGAATTAGCTTTAGTGTGACTTCCAGCATGTTGTAGTTATAAGTGCATGAATTCCTATCCAAGCATTAATGAAGGTGGTTGGTGTGAAGACTTCTCATCTCAAGGCATTGATGAGGGTGGGCTCAATCATTAATTTCTTTAGCACTCACAACAGATTCCCAGCAAACACACTCTCCCTTTTTAAATTTTTGTATCTATACATGCGAATTGCAATACCTTCTTCATGAATTGGATAATTGAAATATGAAACCTTGATTTGGCACTTGGAATTGAGGATGGTGGATCATAAGTGGTCGGGGTGGTGGCGAGGATGGTGGGTGGTCGTTTGGTTGCGTTGTAGGAATGGTTCTTCTATGTCAGAAGGGATTGTTGGGGGTGGACTCCATTTTTGCCTTTTCCCTTTTTTAATTTTATATATTTGATTTCAAAATTTTGTTTAAATTTTAAGATAATAAAGTGCCTATCAAACTGACATAATTAAAGGCTTGGACCTGATTTGTTAACGACTGCAAGTACTGACAAAATCGGGA